TTCTCTCTAAAACAAATAAAAACAAAAAAATTATTTTAAAAGATGGAATCATACAATATGTAGACTTTGTGTCTGGATTATTTATCATTTATTTTTTGGCATAATGTTCTTGAGATTCATCTAAATTCTAGCATATGTCAGTACTTAATTTTTTTTAATTAATTTATTTTTGTTACAGATATTTCTCCTTCTCCCCCCAGAAACCTTACTCCCTATTCTGCTCACCCCACCGCCAAGCATTGTTGTCTATGTCCATTGGTTATGCATACATGCATATAATTTCGTTGGTTTATCTCATCCCTCCCACCCCTGGCACCCCACTTCTGAAGTTTGTCAGTCTGAACTGCATTCCTTTCTATGTCTCTGGGTCTATTTTGTTCATCAGATTGTTTTGTTCATTATGTTCCACAAATAAGGGAGATCATGTGATATTTGTCTTTCTCTGTTTGGCTTATTTCACTTAGGATAATACTCCCCAGGTCCCTCCATGTCGTCTCAAAGGATAAGGGATTTTTCTTTCTTACAATTGCATAGTACTCCATTGTGTTTATGTACCACAGCTTCTTTTTTTTTTTTTAATCCTCACCCAAGGACATTTTTCCACTTTTTGTTCAGATAGAGTGGGAGGGAGGGGGAGAGAGAGAGAGAGAGAGAGAGAGAGAGAGAGAGAGAGAGAGGAAGAGAGAGAGAGAGAGAGAGAGAGAGAGAGATCGACGTAAAAGGGGCACATCGAGTGGCTGCCTGTACCACAGCTTTTTTATCCAGTCATCCATTGATGGACACTTGGGCTGTTTCCAGATCTTAGCAATGGTTGGTTGGTGTTTCAGGCTTCTTAGGAGATATTCCTAGAAGTGGGATCACTGGGTCAAATGGCAGTTCGATTTTTAATTTTTTGAGGAAACACCATATTGTTTTCCATAGTGGCTGCACCAGTCTGCATTCCCACCAGCAGTGTACTAGAGTCCCCTTTTCTCCACACCCTCGCCAGCACTTGTTGTTTGATGATTTGTTGATGGCGGCCATTCTGACAGGTATGTGGTGAGACCTCATAGTCATTTTAATTTGCATCTCTCTGATGATTAGTGACGTTGAGCATTTTTTCAAGTCTCTTGGCCATTTGTATGTTCTTTATGGAGAGGTGTCTATTTAGTTCCTCTGCCCATTTTTTAATTGGGTTCTTAGTCTTCCTTTTGTTGAGTTGTATGAGTACTCCATATATTTTGGAAATTATTTGAGAATATTGTCTTGGGTCAATTTCTGGGTTCTCTGTTCTGTTCCATTGATCTATATGCCTGTTCTTGTGCCAGTACCAGGCTGTTTTAATTACAATAGCTTTGTAGTATAACCTGATATTTGGTATTGTGATTCCTCCTACTTTGTTTTTCATTTTCAAGATTGCTGTGGCTATTTGAGGTCTTTTTTGTTCCATATGAACTTTTGAAGTGTTTGTTTTAGTTCTGTGAAATATGTCGTTGATATTTTGATGGGGATTGCATTGAATCTATAGGTTGCTTTGGGTAGTATGGACATTTTAATGATGTTAATTCTTCCAATCCATGAACAAGGTATATGCTTCCACTTTTTTATATCTTCTTCTATTTCTTTTTTCAATGTCCTGTAATTTTCTGCAAAGAGGTCCTTTACTTCTTTGGTTAAGTTTATTCCTAGGTATCTTGATTTTTTTGCTGCAATGGTAAATGGGTTATTTTTTTTTTTAGTTTCTCTTTCTGTGAGTTCATTATTGGTGTATAAGAATGCTGTTGATTTCTTGATGTTAATTTTGTATCCTGCTACCTTGCCAAATTCGTTTATTAAATCTAGTGGAGTTTTGATGGAGTCTTTAGAGTTTTCTGTGTACAATATCATGTCATCTGCAAATAATGACAGTTACATTTTTTCCTTTTCAATTTGAATCCCTTTTATATTTTCTTCATGTCTAATTGCTGTGACTAACACTTCCAGTACTATGAGGTACATGCCCTTGACCGGAATTGAACCCATGACTCATTGGTCCGTTGGGTAACGCTCTAACCGCTGAGCCAAACTGGCCAGGGCCAATTTCATTAGTTGTTATTGGTCTGTTCAAGTTTTTTATTTCTTCCTAATTCAGTTTTGGGAGTCTGTATGATTCTACAAATTTGTCCATTTCACCTAGATTGTCCAATTTGTTGGTGTATAATTGCTCATAGTATTTTTTAACAGTCCTTTGTTTTTCTGTGGTGTCAGTTGTTACTTCTCTTTTGTTTCTGATTTTGTTTATTTGGGTCTTCTCTCTTTGTTTCTTGGTGAGTCTGGCTAAGAGTCCATCAATCTTGTTTATCTTTTCAAAGAACCAGTTCTTTGTTTTATTGATCTTTTCAGTTGTTTTTTTTTTGTCTCTATTTTGTTTATTTCTGCTCTGATCTTTAATTCAGAAAGTTTCTTTGTTGGTTTGTAATAGATTATGGATTCTAAAGTATTTTTAGTTATTTGTTTTTTATTGAGGTATAATTGACATATACCATGATATTAGCTTCAGGTGTACATCATGAGTTCATACTCATATATATTGGAAAATGATCACCACAATATATCCAGCTAACATCTGTCCTCATACATAGTTTTAATTTTTTTCTTGTGATGAGGACTTTTAAGATCCACTATAGTTAAAAATACTGAATTGCATATCTAAGGTACTTTTAGATTACTTGATAAACCTATGCATATGTTTCTGTATCATAAAAAGTGAAAGCACCACACTATAATTTATGATTAGCTTTCATCATATATATTTGGTTGAATGAACACATTTAATATTATAAGGAAATAAATATATTTAAAAGAACTTGTGGTTCCTTCATCTCTATAGTCCCCAAGGAACTCTTTTCTTGTAATTAATTATTTTGGTAAGAATTTATTGAGCATCTATTTTATGTAGAACCTCCAATAAGTGTTATAATATTGGGGTAGTAAGTGTGGAGGGTGTTGTTTGTGGATGAGAGGTCCTAAAGAAACAAAAAAAATTTCTGTGACTTTAACTTCCCTGTAGAAGGAAGGTTAAAACATACTGTACAACTTGAGAACCTGTACAAAATAATGTGTAGTCTCAGAACTGCAAAGTAACATAGTACAATTTGCATATATATATGTTGAAAAGAACAAAATGATGACATGCAATAAATTTAATACTCTGCTATTGACTAGGAATACAGTGATGAAAAAGACATAGTCTCTGCCCTAAAGACACCTAGAATAATAAATCAGCACATAATTGGAGCTCAAAAATATTACTGGTTTTTTTTGTGGATAACTTTGGAATAAGAGGATGCCATGCTATGTTGTGCCTGGCTGCTTTTAATGTTGAAAGGTACTGAAGATAGTAGTGTGGACAAAAAGGGAGCTACTTAATAAACCTGGCAAGCTCAATAGAGGTGTGTATGGCAGGCCTTACAAACTCGAGACCTAAAGTAACAATAAAGGATGGTCTGAAATTAAAACTTCCTAACTAAAATCCTCATGGCGAATAGTCATGTCCTAGGCCAGTATCCTCCTTGACAAAGGTCAATTTTTAATTTAACTGAAACTGCCTATTGTCTTTTTACGTCTAGAGTAACATACCTTTGGAATGTCAGAGTAATCCCCTTTTTTCCCAGACCCATCAGGGCACAATCTCCCATCAGAGCAGGAGAACATTGAACCGCTCAGTGTTATCTTGTTCCCCGCATACCAGCTCTGTGTGCTGTAAATGTTAATTGTTGACTCCTATATGTACCAACAAAAAGAGATATTTATTTCTTCATTTTATTCTTTATCCAATCTCAGAGATTTCTCTGCTTTGCTTTCTCCCGCCTCCCTAATCTACCACTAATGAATTTCATATAACCCTCCGTACACTTCCTCCTTTAATTGTAACGTATAAAATAAACTGCAAAGCTGTCATTCTTCAGAGCATTTTCTCAATTTGTTGAGATTATGCTTCCTGAAAATTGTCATCAGCTTGTTTCGAACAAACGCATAAAAATTCTTACAGGTGTGGATATTTCTTACCTTGACAGGAACATCGTTAACCTAATTTCTAAAGAGAATACATATACTTCTGTAAGACTAAGGTCATATAGGTAAACTTACATGTCACAGAAGAGTTAGCAAATATGTTTTTTGAAAAAATGTGCATGTAGATAACTTAAGAATTATTTACTGTTCTTGAAGAAGTGAAACAGAAACTTTCCCAAATGGATCTTCTCAACTTTGTCTGATGTAGTTCTAATTCGTCCTCTAAGTCATGCCCTCTTTGACAATGACTTAATTTTTCTCTGCCTCATCAGTATCATGTTCTAACTAGTTTATGTAACTGAAGTGGAAGGAGACATAAAAGCGTAACCTGCATGCTTGGTGCAAATAATTTATTCACTGTTTTCTTATATGCAGATTTGAAAACCATAATATTTTAGATTTTACTTTACAAAAAGAAATCAAACAGTACATAGTTCATGAGATAAAGTCATTGGCTAAATATACCGTTTTTTTTGGGGGGGGGGAGGTGTTTACGACGAAAATAAATGCTAAATTTTGCCTCAGGTATTTGTTTATGGTAATCTAGAAATGGCTCCAATCGGAGCGTGCGTTTCTTTCGGAAAGAGATTGTGTTTTTCAATTCACTAGACTAAATTTCTAGAATACTCTCTTCAAAGCACGTTTTGTTAGATGAATGAATTTCCTGGGACGTTGCCCCGTTAGAAGCCTTGGGGCAGTGAAGACCACAACTCCCAGAATGCCATGCTGCCCTTGCGCTCTCCTCCTTAAGGCGAGTATGTCCCAGCACCCTTGGCGCCAGGTCGGGACTACAATTCCCACCACACCCAGGGGCTCCGGAAACCGTGTCAAACACCACCTGTTGCCATAGCATCCGGGTCCGGGCCAACCAATTCGCGTGCCCCTGCTGAGTGGAGGCGGGCCGTTCGTATCTCCCACCAACCGGAGGCATTTTGTTGTGGAGCGTGACCGGAGGAGGTGGGAGCTGAGAACCGGCGCCTTCTCCTTGCTTCTTGGGGTCGTGGCCTTGCTCCCGCTGTGCGAGGCAAGCGTTCGGCCTCGTCCACGCGCGTGTGTGCGCGTGGGCCCTGTAGTGCTCGTGGGTCCACGCTAGGACTTTGCGGGGACAGAAGAAGCCATGGGCGGGACCTCCAGCACCCGCCGGGTCACCTTCGAGGCGGACGAGAATGAGAACATTACCGTGGTGAAGGGCATCCGGGTGAGTGACAGTGGGCGGGTGGAGAGTCAGTACTTGGACTTGAACCCCAAACCTCGGACCTTCCCCGGACCCGCTCGCCTGGTTTCCCCGTCCCGGCCCCCAGTGTTGTCCAGACCGAAGCCGAGTTTTCTGCAAAGAAGGTTGAAGTTTCAAGACTTGGGACATTCATTCAGAGCTGTTTCCTGGTTTTGTGCCAAGGCTGAGCACTGCTGGGCGGGTGGGGGATGCCAGGTTGTTTCAGACCCTCCAGGGGCTCACACTGTAGTGTTGACGGCGTTGCTCAGTAGTTGTACAGTACTTTACTTGAAATCCCTGCTTCACTGCACCCATCTGTGAAGTGGGGCTTGTCTTACTCCTTCTGACTTCAGGATCCAAAACCTGCTTTTGCACTGCCCACATCACCCCTTTTGGGGCGAACTGGCGTTTTAAGGAACCCTTTATCTGTTCTCTGTCATTTAGTATTCTTTATCTCATACCACCGCTTCCCCCAACACACACACGCACGCCATAGACTTTTCTGGTCTCAGGTGACTTCTGGCTTCTCTCCCCTCGATTTTACTTGAGATCTGTCCCCCAGCCACCTCCTCTGTGGCCTGTCCGCCTAAGTTCTGGACTAGGCCCAGTTACTTCAGGACTGGTGCCTGCTAGCCTGCTAGGGCTTGAGATAGGATTGCAGTTTTTAAGAGCACTAGAAGTAATGCAGTCAATTCCAACCAAGACATTGCAGAGAATTTTTCAATGCCCCTGCCATGTGCTTGATACATAAACTGAAAACTTGATTTTTCTGTAGGGTGTCGGTATCCCAGCACTGACTTCATTAACACACTCACCACTGCACCTGAATTTGAAGGCTCACTTTTTTTTTGAGAAGTAATGGCCTGAATCTAGTAAATAAAGTACTTTGACTTTAGTTTTTATCTTTCTTTTCTGTTATTACACAACCAGCATAAGTAAACTATATGTGCATATTATTTTTAGCATTTGTTAATAGGAAATAAACCTTCATAAATAATTTAAAGTGTTTAAAAACTTTTTACTCTGAAACTGTTACCTTGAGAAGAATTTATTAAAGTTTTCTTTACAGAAACTCAGACTGTTGAGCTCAATTTTTGGTCCGTGACCAGCATTTCTTTATATTACATCAATTACTGGTATTACCACATTTTAAAATCAGATGTCGGAGGCTGCATTCTTTGTGCCGTTGTGGTTTAGTTGGTACTCTTTGGAGTAAAATAAAAATTACTGCAAACCATGAGTTTTATGGAGAGATAGTTTTGCCTTTAGGCTTTGAGTGTTCCAAACCAGAGGGTTAAAAAGAAATAAAAGCAAGGAAAAACAAAATAGGTTTTGGGTGAGAAGCCATTGGGTAGAAAAGTGTGTAAATCCATGTTCTCATATGACAACAAACAAAAATCAAAAGAGAATTTGGCCACAGCGCAGATTCATATCAAATATTAGATAAAGATAAGTAGGACAAGTGTGAAAGTAGGGATAGATATTAGATTAAAATGGGAAGATTGGATCAAAAAACCTCTTTTATAAAAAAAAATTTTTTTTTTAAACAAAAGAAGCTGTGTCCTTTGGACACTCAACTTAATGGAGGTAGTCTTTATTTTTCTTTCTTTCTTACAGAGTATGTGTTCAAGACACGCCATGCTCATTTTGACCTCTGTGTTTTTCTTTTCTTCAGTATATGCCCTTCACCTGGAATGCCCTTGTAATGTTCTCCCTGTTGCTTCAAATCCTTTTTTTCAAGGGTGATTTTCAGTCTCTCTGAGCTTCAGTTTTCTCATCTGCAAAATGATCACTAAGATCTCTTATCTTTTCAAGTTCTGAAGTTCTGTGAGCCCTGTGGCACCATAAGTTTCTTGTAGCCCTAATCAGCTCATTTCAGTTTCCTCTAGAATTGGCAGGCTATTGAATTGTTGAGTACCCAGGGATCATTGTGGTTTTTTTGAGGTCTTGGTCAAGAGAGCACCAACTTGGAGTTAAATATACCTCAGTTTAAGTCTCAAATTAGGTGTTTACCAGCCTGCGACCTTGGACAAGTCACTTGTCTGATCATATTTCCTTATCCTGAACCAGCACTTCTCAATTGTGGTAAGAAGAAGAGGTAACGACGTATTTCAGACACATGGCACATTGTAGATTTTTAATAAAAGGCAGCTGTTCTGTAGGGTTCCTTCTGCATCGAATATTCTGAGATTCTTTGGCAATGCTGTGTGGTCTAGTGGGAAGAGCATGTGCTTCAGAACCAGGCCGGCCTGGGTTTGGTCCTGGCTCTGCCTTTCACTTCGCTGTGTGGCCCTGGACAAGCCACTTTTGATGTGTTTCCCTGTTCAGTATATCTGGATAATGCAGCCTAATTGTGGTACTTAGGTCTCTATCCCTGCTTGGGAGAATTTGACATAATGTATGTAAGCATCTAGCACAGTGCCTAGTACTTTGAGAGTGTTTAGTACTTATATGAGTAGAGCTGTTATGAGGGCTGTTCAAGGGAATGGATAAGTAAACTTATATGAACTTAATAGATAAAAATAAGAATACATTGTGTTCCCATAGGCATACCTGAAGAGGTGTAGACTGGGAAATGGGAGCCCCGAGCTCTGCAACTGATTGCCTGTGAGATTTTTGGCCAGGCGTTTCTAGATGTTTTCAGCTAATCTTCGTGTTTTACTTAGCTTGAGACAGTCACCTCCTTTCCCTCGGAGATGTGTCAGTACCATTTGTGTGCCCCCGTTTTTAGCTCAGGTGATTGAAACACGGTGCTGATGAGGCCCAAGCTTCAGTGTTGAATTGCAGATAGGTTAATTCAACTTAACTGAAGAAGACTTTCCAAATTTGCCCAATTCTCTAACATTTATGTCATCACTTACAAGAAATGAGAGTGTACCCAACAATTCCACAGACTCAGTCACTGCTGGAAAAGTCAATTCTGTGTTCCAATGATAAGGATAGTAATTTCATCTTCATTTATCTTAATATACAAAGACTAACATTTAGTATGCAACATGATCCTTTAGGTAACTAGGCTGCTTGTATTTATTTTTGAAATGTTATTGTTTTTTTCTTTTAGAGGGGGGGAGAGAAAGAGAAACATGGATGTGAGAGAGAGACATCAGTCAGTTGCCTCCCATATGCAGCCTGGCCGGGGACCAACCCCACAAATTGGGCATGTGCCCTGAGTGGGAATTTAACCAGTGACCTTTCGTTGCATATGACAGTGCTCAACCAACTGAGACACACTGGCCAGGGCTAGGCTGCATTTTGCATTTATTAATAGATCATGTTTTCCAGATTTTTCTGCCCTTCTTAAAATTTTAAGCTTAAAGTTTCTTCTCACCTCCCAGGTGTTATTCTCATGGTATTTGTAGGGTCTTGTTTTTTTTCCCCTTCATGCTTAGCAATTAGTAACTTTCCCCCTACTTCCATAAATAACCCGTATCCCTACACCTGATTCCAACTTTGAATCTGAAATAACTTATGGGTTGAATGAAAGGCCACCCCCTTGCCTTGCCCTCCTCTCCAAGTCTAAAATAAACTGCTTGTGGTAGGAAGACCAAGTATTTTTATTATTCACATTGCATGTGCTTAATAGGATTTCTGCGAGCACCTGCTGGGCCTGCTTGGCAAGTATGCCTTCCACTCAGTCTTTCACACGTTTATCTGAAACATCAAAGCTGTGGGTGAACTCTTCCAGAGCAAATGTCAACTTCAATGAGTATCATTTTCAAACTAATATTTATCATGCTTTCCAGGCATAAGCTAATCTGTGCCGCGGCCTGGAAGCTGCAAGCTGACTTTCACAGGCGCCAGTTGTGGTGCGCGGTTACATGGAACACAGCTAGTGCTTTGGGAAGCACTGGCAGTCGAGAGCCTCTGAATGGAGCTTATTTAATGTGGGCTGTTGTTGAGGCTCCTGGAGAGAGTGCATTAATGGAGGCACAACTGCAGTCAGTCATTGGGAGTATTAAGGAATGTTGTCCTGGTAATCAGCTAACCGGTGGGTGGTTGGTGCCTTTCCAGGAATCTCTTGGGCATAGTACCATGTTAAGCTTTCTGGATTTTCTATAGGCAGTAGAAGTTCACGTTTTCCACTAATACCAAATACAAAGAAATACAACTTACAAACTAAGAACATAAGCTAAAAATTACATGGGTATACATACCCCCCTCCTCCCATGCCCGTAAGTATTTGGGAGTAATTTTTTTTCAAATAATAATGTCAATTTTTGGAGCCAATGTCTTAAAATGGTAGTTGTAAAGAAGACCAGTACTCTTACAGAAAATGACCTATGTTACATGCAAGGAAGACCCAGAGAGAATAATGGGTCTGAGTCTCTTTTATTTATTTATCTAATCCTCAGCCTAGGATATTTTTCCATTTATCTTCAGACAGAGTGGGAGGGAGGGAGGATGCTGGGGGGGGGGGGGTAGAGAGAAACATTTTTTCTTTATTGATTTTTAGAGAGAAAGGAAGGGAGAGGGAGAGACAGATAGAAACATTGATGAGAGAACATTGATTGGCCGTCCCCTGCATGCCCCTCACTGGGGATTTGGCCCACAACCTGGGCATGTGCCCTGACCGGGAATCGAACCAGTGACCTTTTGGTGCATGGGTCTACTCTCAACCACTGAGCCACACCAGCTGGGTGAGTCTGAGTCTTTTAGTCAGTTCGATCAGACACATCTGGAAGAAGATGAGAGAAACTCTTGAGGTGAGGGTCTGAACTGTTTCTGTCTCCTGTGGTTCTACCTACCTCTTAGAGAATGACAACTTAATGGGGGTTCTCGTTCTCCTTTTACTCTGTTCCTTGGAAGTGGAAATACTTTACTTTTGTCCATCTCACCCAGTCTCCTGTTTTGGAGAAAATACTGGATTCTGGGTTGGTGCGTGGTGTATTTGTGCCAGTTTTAGAAAAGACTGCTGTGGTGGGCGGGCAGAGACGAGTGGGGAGACGACAGAAGATGACACACATCTTTCCCTCTTCTCTGGAGCA